AAAAAAAAAGCGGATGCAAAAAAGTGGAAGTCGGAAGAGCTTCCAAGATTCCTGAGCTAAAAAGGCGGCGATGCAAATGAATATCGAAGCGGTGCATTGTGATCATTAAACCAAAACCGTATTCTAGATGACACGCATTCGCTGGCGTCGATTTGCGAACCAAACACGGACCACCTAAAGCAGAAAGGACTTTATTAGATTTAAAACCAATGCTATTTCTTGACTTTACCTATGGAAATATCATTTACAGATGAAAAAGAGACACGAATCCAGCGTCCGACTTTTATCACTGATACTGCTCAATACTGCTAGAGCGGTACGAACTAGTATCACTTCCACTTGGTCTCCTTTTGGCACTCTTCATATCGTGCCTCCTTCATTTCCTGAGCTGGTATTTACAACACAAGCTACTGACTAGTACCATGTACAAGTTCAACTCTAGCCGACCTTGACTTAGCCGCAGCAAGAGATAATACCGCTTTTGCATCTGATTTGGCCAAAATACACTGGCAAAAACAGCCGACTGAAGAGTTTCTTCGAAGTTTAACCATAGAAATAGATAAATGCATAACGTCGCGACACACTGTGACCAAGCACAACCGAAACCACCGCCTGTATGTAGTCCTCAAGGACACGATCCCTTCAAAAACGAAAAAGCAAGGGTATAAAAACTCACGTATGGATCTAGTCCCACAACCTCGGAAATCTCTCGAATGTTATTGACATTCGGATACTGATCCAAGTCGAACCAAGCTCTGAGCTCAAGTTGTTGAGCCGCTGTCAAAATAGTGCGACTGCGACGTTTCTTACGTGGAGGCGGCAAAGGCGGTTCACTTCCACTACGCTTGTTCGAGGGCGCTGCACCATCATCCTTTGTACCGCCGCAGAGCTGTGGTGACTTTTTTCTTATTCTCTTTTAAAAGAAAATGCAAGAGAAATTGTAATCTATCATCATACAAAATACATCAGGTTCAGACCTCTCGAAAACATGCCATGTTCTTCTGATAAGCAATTTGTGGATGTGTAGTTTAACATACTACTCCTCTTTTCAGTCTAGCCTTCATTTTTAGCAGAAACAGCCAGACAAATCAGAATGTCGCGTGCAGTCACTTCAGTACATTTAAATAAAAGGCAAATTCTGAAAAATAAAGCCTCCCCCTTCCCTCCTCAAACAACCATCTATTTGCTTTTCCATATCCAACGCTCTTTATGTAAACTATTATACTTGGTCAACTTACATGATTAAAATAAATACTAATTTGAGTCAACGGAAGAATAGTGAAGCAGAGGACAGTTCGGCAAATTGCCGGAGCGCACTAACGAGTAGGAGCTTCTAAATTTATGCTGTCAAAATACGAGGTAAAACGCTCGATAACATCGAGCTGAATTTATGAGACATGCATTTCCTATGACAGCACTAGGAGTCAGCCCTGGCCGATCAGCGAGATGGAAAAATAGCATGAAAGTCAACGAGAAATGGCCTTGTTACCACATTTTCCGTGGCGAAGAATGTTTGTAAAATGAACGAGAATTGCAGAAGCTCAATGCAGTAACTAACTCTCTTTAACGCCTTCCGGACGTAATTTACATGGAGTTTACAACTCAGTTTTTACAGCTTATTTTGTTAATTAGTCAAGCGCTGATTTTTAAGCTTTTTGTAATATTTTCACTTATGTTTTTGTGTTTGTTTACTAATGGTGATGGATCTGACAGCAATGTTTGAGCCGAAAAGTGCATAAGCGTCACAGTCTTATGTCTGATACTGCATGTGGTAGGCACCTGGCTGGCGCAAATCATACAGCACTGTCTACAGTTTCAACAGACTAATCCGAAAAAACCGCGCTCGCGTCCTCATTCGCATCATTTTGGAAGACATGACGCACGGTTGCCACGAGTAATTGCTCCAGAAAGCAGGAAAAGAGAAACTGGGTGTAAAGAAGACAGCGTTGTAGAGCAGCTTTCTCTCTATAATTTTACTGAAATCCCTTCAAGCTTCTCCAAAGTGATAGCATGTTGTCTCCTGTGGTGAGCATAAAAAAACTAAAATGCTTTTGAGACTGTACTATATCCAAGACACTAGTGGACGAAGTATGTCAGCTGGCAGATTTTGGCAGAAAAATGGCTGAATGGATAGCCCGCCTGGCTTCTTCCAATGAAGGGTTGGCTTGCCTGAGCAGGCAGAAGCTATTTTTTGGCTTATAACAAGGCATCCAAGCACAACTGAATCCCGGCAATGTCAGATCCCATACCTCCGAAAGGATGACGTTGGCCAGCAGCGGGTAAAATGGTTGGTGTACGCCGAGCATTCGACTTTTCACGATCTCAGTGAGAACGTAACAGACTGGGTCGTAAGCTGTGTCCCGCGTAATGTTTTTCGCACTTGAAAATTTGTGATTCTGCATGTCACTAACGAATGTTTGATTAAAGAGAGAAAAATAAACCGATTTAATAAGGTTTGGATCATTCAGGATGTCACCTAGGCTTGCACCGGATGCTCGTGTTTTCTCAATGTCCTCCATCAGCTTCTGCAGATTCGCTCGCAATTTGTACATATTTTTGAATGACAGCGCTGCCGATTCGAAACGAGAAACAGTCGTCTGCGAGATGCACACATCGTATATGCGATGAAGTGCTGAGCAGACGTCTTGTTGCGTAAAACCTGCAATTATTAAAAATGCCATGCCGGCTTTTTATATGGGGCTAAGAGCAGCACGGGCTGTTACGGATTGCTCCGGCTCTGTATTCTTCTGTGATTATACAGTAATTAAACTCAGTACAATCAATAATTTTCAACTGGAAAACAATAAAAACTATCTTTCGATAACTGTTAAGTGAGAGTAATAATTGCCTGGAAAATTGAAAAATGCTGTCTCTGCTAACTGCCTGAACTTACACAAAGCTTGTCATTTCAACCATTAAATCAGTTCAGAGTGGCGATTTTTCACACTTTACGATTAGCTGATGCTAATTTAGCTGATGTGCCTGTCTCGGCCAGCAAAACAATATGCACTATAATCTGCAGCTGGAGGCTGCGTGTAAAAGGAGCTCTGATCCGGGCAAATTTGCAGCATCGTGTTGGCTTTCAGACTGCTGAACCGAAAGGACAGTACGCTGTGTTTCACTACAGTTGGGCTGAAGCAGTGGTGCATCCGGTGGAACAAATTTACTGACAAACGCACAATACCATACGTTAGCTGTGGCTGAGTGAGTGAGATGTTACGAGCCTGTCGCTAGCCACAGCGAGGTGCCTCATCAAAACAGCTCTGTGTGGGATATCGCTGTGAATATGCACGAATACGGGTTTTGCAGGCGTATGTAATACATAGTTTGGAGTTCACAGCAAAAGAATCAGTTGTAGCAATGCTCTGCATTTAGATGTTTTCTAGTGACATCGCAGATGCGCACTGACTATTTGGGTCCGCAATTTTACTAAAACCATTTCTGAGCTTATTTCACCGGTTCATATGAATTTAGAATCGAGGCTAAAAGCAATTTTTTATTTCAAATTTTAATCCGACTCTGAAAGCCTATTACTTGTTTGCTTCGGTTTATTTTTAGCTCCAAATTGTGTATTTTAAAACACTCTGAAAGGACGAGGCAGCGCTTCGTCCTCTAATTCAAAATTAAAAGAATATCACTGAAATGTAATTATCAGGCTTTCCAGAACTCTAAATCGTGGAAAGAGAAGCTTGTAACGAGGGCTAGTTTTTGAGGGGGCAGTCGCAAAGAATTTTTTAAAAAATGAAAATTTTTTCTAACTTTGTTTTTCCAAAACTAATTCAACTTCCAAAAGTTGAACATTACAGAGAGACTGAGATTAGCTGTGGATGGGAAATGAGGAGGATTTATCTGCTGACTCAATTTTACCAAAAAGAACTGTAAATAGGTCTTTCTTCTCTGCCGATATTCTTATTGGTGTTTGTCTACAATAATCACAAAACCCAAGTTACACTGCAGCCGGTCAGAAGAATGCAGCTTTTTTTCTCTGTTGTATGCTGATTCGATTAGTGACAATAGCTTCACGTTTCTTGCCCGCTGTAGGAGTACTGTAAACAGCGATCGAAAATCTGTGTTTTCAGAATTAGATCCCGCCTCTGCTGTGGTGTCTGCGAGGTTTTGTTGTTGCGGAACTGTTCTAAAATAAGGGAGAGGATTATTGAATGACTGAAAATTGTTATTTAGATATTATTTTAAAATAACTGCTTCTTGCTGTATCACACCGTTTCCTGAACGAATTAGCAGTATTTGTAGAAATTTCTAGCAATTGTTGGTTGGTTTAACTGAAATCTGAATTATCTTCGACCAATCACCTAGTAATCTTTCATCGACTATTTCCAGAAACTTCAATTTGCTTTTTTAAACCTCACCTAGCTTCGCTGCTTATCTGCAAAGCATTTACACCTTCACGTCCAGTGCTATCGCAGATCAGTTCACTGGTTTGGAAAGAAAAAGGGGAGAAACTCGTTTAGTGTGTTGTCATTCGAAAAGACCGTTTACTAAAAAAACCCAATCCAACTGGTCCACTGAGCAAAACGCGTCTGCACAACAGTTGTTGCTTTTCATCCGTAAATCCATTTTGGTTCAGTTAAAAACGTGGAGCGACCTATTATCAGAAGTAAGCACAAGTCATGCCAGAAGGAGCTACGCATTTCACTGACATTAGTTAAGCTAAGCAACAAAATGGCCGACAGCGGAAAGAGCTGTTAACAAGGGCTAGTCGAGTATTAACGTTTAACTTGCTGGGGCATACTGCACAGACACAATTAAGATGACCAAATTAAACTGGGAAAAAGGATAAATTTTTCCTGTCAGATAACAGTATTATTTACCCAAGCTGATGCGCTGCTCCTTGAACACTTTTGCATAATTACTCATCTCATACAGGTCCTTTTTCTCCTCTTCGGTGAGTGCCGCTGCCAGTGCCCGAAGTACCTACAAAAAAATAAGAAACTATAGCGACTATTCTGCACTCATTGCAAAATTTTGGAAGCTACCGCACATTAACGTGTACACAACCTGATTGATAGAGCCATCGGTAATAAGATTGGAGAGCGAGTCAATAACTTAAGGCTATGTTAATAAATTGGTGTCTCGGCCTAGCGGGCGATAAAAGTAAAAGCTCAAGTTGGGAATTTTTAGGCAGCAGCAACTAGAAATTCAGAAGTTCAAAAATCCACGGTTATCAATGATTACGGAAGTGGTCTAAGTTGGATTATTACGCGTAGATACTCAAGGTGGAGCGCACACCGGCAGATGGCGAATTACACTTAGACGATAATTTCGCAGAAGAACTTAAGTGAGTGGAGACTGTTCCTGCGAATGAATAATCCAGGAGTTTTGCACGGCTGCCCATTTCTTTGCATAAATCGACGGGTTGGCGATTGCGAGTTCCATCCAGCATTACTAATTGTTATTTTCCTACCATTTCCTATTGTTTTCAATTTTTACCTAGCAATGTTCACGCGTTCCAGTAAGATGAGCATTCAGTGACAGAGTCAAAAGTCAGCAATCAAAAACACAGACATATGCACACAAAACAGAGTAGCAATAATATGCGACTTGTGCAACTATTACAACACAAACGCGTATTGTCGAAACTTTATGTTTCTTTGTGTTTTTGTGCGTATGTGCTCCCGGCTTTTATCTAGGGTTTTTTAATCGGGAACAGAAAAGCTAGGACGCTGAGATTTCATTATAGGTTAGTGATCCCTACGCCGGTATGATATCGCAAAATTTAAGTCCAACCCCCACGTAAGTCAAGGCCCCACGTACGGACATGTGAAGGTTTTGCGAAAAAATTCCTAATTAGAAAACCAAAGAAGCTAGGAAGCTGGAGTTTTAAGATGACATGCCAACCCTATCTGTGATACCAAAAAAAAAAAAATTTAAATTCAACTTCTACATAACGTCTAAGCCTCACATACAGATGCGTGGGAACTTTAGCGTGAAATTTTTTGGCTCGAGAATTGGCAAGATTTTTTATATATCTGACTGCGGCTCGGCTAGCTGAAGTTTCGTATAATGCTCCCTTTCAATGTACAGTCCTCGAACTTCATATTCAGCTTTCATATACACTTATTTCTCAGGTACAGACGCACGAAATTTTAGGTGGGAAATTGTTTAGTTCGAAAATGAGACAAACGGAAAGCTAACATTACTGGCGGAATTTTTTTAATGTACGATCCTATAAATCCAATTCCACCCCTCACGAAAGCCTGTTTCACGTACGAGCACGTGGGAAATTTAATATCTCGGGAAACAAATTATATTTTAACAATTTCGTGCACAACAATGAAGTAAAGAATTTTCTTAATAGTAAATGCCCGCTGGGCAGAACCGAGCAAAACGCACGCTCGCACTTGCTGCTTTGGCGTGCGCTCTATTTATTTTTTATCATTTTGTCCCTCATAAATACGTACTGTAACCTCTGTTTTTCTGACTCACCTGATATCGATCCTCATCACTGAGATCCGCACCACGGGGCAAATTCTTGTACACAGGCTCATTTTTGTACACAATCTTCGGAGAGCTGACTGTAACTTGTTCTTCTGATGGAGGCGCTGATGGCGCCTCAAGCTCGGTATTGAATGTCTGATACTGAGTGTAGTTCACTGTATTGAGTGTCTGGTTATCCCCTGCCAGTACAACGCCTTCAGGTACAAAGCCTTTAAAAAAAAATTCTTCAAAAAAAATAATTTTTTTTTCAGAAATTATTGTACTGAGGTCTAATTGTGGTACTGAGCGGAATGCATATGATTTAACGGACCAAAACATTCCTTTTCAGTATTCACTCACATTAATTTATTCGCCCCGTTAGACTTTATCTAGGCTCATTTATTATTTTATCTAACTTGTATTTATACCTTCGGATTCGTCGTCCTTTTCTTTATCTTCTGCTACTACTGTCATTTTAAGAAATACAGATATTGCATTTTTGCATAGATGCACAAATGGACTTGCGATTTCACTGGTGTCGGCAAAGCTAACGATAAAATTACGGGGATTCGGCGCGAACATTTGTTTTTGCGGTAAGCTGGCACACGGTCGTCCTCCTGTCGGTTCTCAACTTCATGAAAAAGAGTTGTATTTGTGTGTGTATGTGTGTGTGTGTGTGTGTGTGTGTGTGTGTGTGTGTGCATAGGAATTTTGCTCATCAAGCTGCTAGGACGTCGAATTCAACTACTAGAACTTCGAATATTCTCGGGCAATAAAATTGGAGTAAATTCAGACGTACGGCCGCATGACGGGACACGAGAAAAATGTGAGTTACTTTTGAGTCTGAAGCCTGGTATATAATAAAAAATTTTTCTCAAAAATTCTAACGTATACAATTTCTATGAAGGTCTAAATAAGCAGTTTCATTTTAACAGCTACCAGTCGGCGACAAAAGACAGCAAGACAAATTCAGCCTGTTTACTGATTTCAGCTCTGTCACATACCCAGGGTCATATTTTGCTGGTACTCTGAAAAAGTTTCATTTTTCATGTCACTAGAAGAGTATCCAGAAAGAGATGAAGTTTATCACACCGCTATCCTATTTTACTAATATTAATTTTTCAAACAGCCTATTGTCATAGAACTCTGTTCCTTTCTTTCCGGCAGCTGAGCAGCTCTTTTGCCACAAATGAACAAATTTTGCTTTCTTGCAACTTGGTAGTATTCATTGTTGAATGGAGATTAATCCATTCAACTTATACCTCATTTTTCTTATTTTAACTCGAAAACTTAGGCATTCCTGAAGTGTCCAGTTTTGCGGACTTTCCTTTGATACTTTACTGGAACACAGAAAGTACTTTACTGGAACACAGAAAGGTCGGACCAATTTTCTGGATGCCTTATAAGCTGATCCTTGAAGGCAAAAAACACTACATTTATGCTTTCGAAAAACGAGTACTGTGCATGATGATTGGATGCAAAATACTCAGTGACGTTGGCAGAAGAAACAAAGTGACAAATCCGGGTGACCGATAGGGCCGTAGCAGAAAGTAGCGACAACGGCTACTGTTATTTTGCTAGAAGTCCCGTCAATGCGCAAAAGAAACCGCTCATTTATAACTCATTAACCAGATTAAAGGATCCCAGCAGCTTGGCACTGCACGTCTTATGCCTAGTGGTTGGTATTTTAAATTGTAATTTGGGCCGTTAAAGCACTTCGGAGATTTTTTTGTGCTTTCAAAAATTTGACTTTCCGGATCAGAGCAAAAAACTCTGTCAGTGCTGAATTTTGTCGTCGGTGTCGATGCATCTTTCTGAGCTGCTTAATTGGAAAAAGAATCCGAATTAATTTTATCGTAGATTTCCGCATTGGAAAAATGCTATATTTAAAAGCTGAGCAAAGAAAGTATGGAAGTCTGCCAAAAATCAAAGAATGCCTCAATTACGTACCATTCAACGAATAGACTGGCGTTAAATTCGTTAACAAATTATTCGAACATGGGAATGGTGTTTCGCCAAAAGGAGCCATTGCTCCGGTTGCAATGAACGATACCGGAACAAGTGGTCGCAAGGTACCATAATCTCCCGCTGCTTCGTCCAGAAAATCAACTAGCTGTAGAAGATCCGGTACCATCGGTGGTGCATTTGCCTCCAATGATACGTTCTGATCCGTGAAGTTGTTGTAGAACGCAACTGATGAATCTAGATTAATTATAGATTTGCTAGCGCAAGTGCTGATACTGAAATTACATTTTAATAATCTTAGTGGATTAGAGTCTCGAGCTTTTTAAAGAGCAAAAAGCATATGCTGAGCACCAACATCGGTCCTAGGGATACGGCCATTGGAAGTGCACGCCGAGAATTTAGCCTGATCAAGACGCTGAGATGCCTGCTTTTTTCAAGAACTAGAGGTCCCGAGCCGTTTGCTGGTATCCGCAACAACCTACAGGAGCAGTTACTTTGGCAGAGCATTGTCATTTACTTTCGGTAGATGCACAAGCCATTCAAACTACTCATTTTAGTAAGTCTCATTTGTCTTATGCATGTGCGAAACACGATTTAGATAACAACAGTCAGGGTGATTGAAAAGTCGGCCTCCTCTGAGATTCGGAAGCGCATTGACGTGCAGTGCTGGTGGGAACACTGCAAAAGTCTTGTCCGACAAGGGTTTAAAATTAAAAAAAAAATGCGATAGCTGAAATGAGCAGAAACAGGATAGGGGCGTAGGTTAGTTATACGATGTATTTTTTTCATAATTTCATTGTTTAGTAGTGGTGCAAAATGCATTTTGGATCTTAAGGACGTGATCGACTTGCAAGGAGCAATAAAAACGTATGTTATGTATGAGTAACCCTGTTTTATCAGTCTCAAAGCAGTTTTTAGCATTTCCAAAAAAAAAAGAGCTTAAAGATATTATTGTTTCTAACCTTCCGCTTGAGCATCTCTTATTATTATTGTGATGCCAGTTATCACACTTCTGAGCAGGTAATTTTATTTTTTTTTAGTTTTTTTCCAGTTTCGCTTCGAACGCAAAACATTTCACCGGAAAATAAAACTGGCAAAATTAAATGAAGTTTAGCGCGAAACAATTTAAAAACCCAGGGTGGAACGCACTAGGCTCTCCGCTGCGATCATGCGTTTTTGCACTAAACTCGCAGATCGCTATTAGCAGGAATGATCCCTACGCT